GGGGGGGGGGGAGCTTTGGCTCACGCCGGCAACCTCAGGCATTTTGCTGGGCCGACGTGGTGGAGACGGTGCTCTGGGTCCGGTCGCGGACCACCTTCTCCAGCAGGGTGTGGATGGTCAGGGCCCCGGTGGTAGCCTGGTTGACCAGCTCCTCTAACCGGTCGATGTGCAGGCGGGTATCCACCTGCGAGCGGTTGCAGGATAGGTGGCCGGGTGGATTTGGGGGGGATCGCGAGGTGGCCGGCGGGGATACAAGTCAGACAATGGAAGCCCGACGGGAGCGGAGTGAGGGGGGGGGGGGAGAAAAAAAAGAGACAAATGCACATGTACAACGACGCACATCCAGGTACACCACACCGCCGGTCACCGGGAGCACGGCAACGGTGGCCGTCGGCGAGCCGCCGAAAGACTGCTCTTCGTTCTGGTTCGGGTCGATGACGGTGATATCATTGAGCAGAGCCGAAGAGGAGGCTGCAAGCGCGGAACAGGGGTCGAGGGTGAGAAAAATAGGACCCTCAAAGGAGCAGGATGGACCGGTTGGACCGATAACAAGTGGCAGCTTAAGGGGGAGGGGGGCGAGAGAAAAGGAGCGAGAGAGAGAGAGAGAGAGGGAGGGAGGGAGAGAGAGAGAGGCGTGATGCAAGGCCAGACGCACCACACAGGTAGTCACGGATCTCGATGCCAGCGTCGATCAGGGCCAGGGTTGTGGCATTGATGCAGGCCACAAGCATTCCGCCATCGGACTGGAGAACCTCGACGAAGATGTCAATTTGCGACCGCGGGGGGATCTTATCAATGGCAATGGTCGAGGAAAAGGCCTTCTCCAGGGCCGATGCGTGGCTCATGGTGCGGCTATTCGCGAGGCCGGTGTCCGGTTAGAGAAGGAGGGCCGATGGCGTGTGGACATGCGCGAGCGCGTGCCCGGGCGTGCGGCGCTTGGCCAGCGAGCAGCGAGAAGGAACACCCACAAGGGCGGCACGTACCGGTCACCCTTGATCTTGCGGCGACGCTCGCCACCACTGAAAGTGGCCATGCTGAACTGGCAGCACACCGTGGCACGGTCACTGGACTGGGTGGTCTGGCGCGCGGCCTTGGCACTGGAGACCTGCGTGTGTGTGTGTGTGTGGGTGGATGAGTGGGCGGGTGGATATGTTTGAATAAAAAAGGCAAGCAAAGGGCAAGAGCGCCAGCGTGGGGGCACACATCAAAGCGCGGAGCCTGGATCGAGGGCCAGCGAGGAGGGGGCACGCACCTCGCGCGGGCCATACACGGCCACCAGAACGCGAGTATTACCGAGCTCGAGGTAGGAGGAGCCGTCGGCATCGGTCAGCGGGCCGGAGCGCACACGCAGGCGCCGGAGCTCATTGACTCGCCGCCCATCCAGGCGGAGACCCTCTGGCGAGACGAACTCCCGGGAGGCAAACTGCAACACAAGGCAGGGAGCGGGAGCGAGGGTGAAAAGACAGCAAAGGGTAAGTGGCCCCAGCTGGGCTGGAGGAGGGGAAAGAGTGAAGGAGAAGTGGCGGGAGCGGGGCAGGTCGCGTGTGCATGTACCATTATGGGAGGGAGGGAGGGAAGGGAGATGCGGGGGAGGACAGCAGGGGAAAAGGAAGACGGGAGCCAGAGGCGGGGCGAGGCAAAGACGGATGGAGAAGACCGGAAGGAAGAGGGGAGGGGGAGAGAGAGGGAGAGAGAGAGAGCGGAGAGGGAGCTGCCGGGGCCCTGGCGGGGCGGGTGGTCCGCGCGGACGCGGCCCAAAAGAAATGATGGCGTCAATGGTGTCCCCCCGTCGCCGGGGACCACCGAGCTTTCCCCGACCGGCGCGCATCTCCCGACCCCCTCGCCCCTGGTGCCAGGCAATGCGTGCGCGCCCGGGCGCCCCGCGGCCCCCGGGGGCCCCCCCCCCCCCCCCGAACGCCCTCCGGCTGGGAAGCATGCAGGGCGAAGCCTCGTCAAAGTGCCAACGCTCGGCGCGGCTGGCGGCATGAGGCCGAGCATGTGACCCGAAGTCTCGGCGATGTGTCTTCGTTGGTAGATGTATTGAGACGAGGTCTCCACAAGGGCAAAGGAAGTGCATGCGTGCGCGATCGCGCGCGCGCGCACACACACACACACACACATACGCACGCGTACACACGCACGCCTGCCGCGCGGGGAGGGACACAGCAGGGGAGCACACCGCGATACGGCCGGCCAGCCGACGGGGGAGGAGCACGCGCGTGGTGCTAATAGTACCACCGGTTGATCTCGCCACCACCGAACTCCTCGGCGAAGGAGTAGCTGGCGCCCATGTCCTGCAGGAGAACATCCTCCGGGAACATGTAGTACGGATGCCGGTGCAGGAAGGACGGCACGGGGGCCGGCATGTATGGGCCCGGCGGCGCCGGGGGGTAGAGACCCGGCGGAGGCGGCGGGCTGTAAGGGGCCGGAACCACCGGGGTCGAGTAGGGCGGCGGCGGCGGCGACGACCCCGGCCCCGGCGCTGCTCCCGACCGCGGGGGCATGTTCGGGCCCGGGGGCAATGGCGGCGCCGGGGGGATGGTGGAGCCGGAGCCGGTGCCCGGGCCGGGCGCCTCGAACACCGACACCGGGCGCGGGGTGTGCGGGTTGGAGGAGGGCGACACGCCGACCGCCTCGGCCAGGACCGGCCGCCGGGGGGGCGGCTGGCCGGGCTGGTCAGCCGGCAGGGCACCCAGCTCCGGCAATTCGGACATGCGATTGGAGCTGGCCCACCCGGCCGACGGCTGGATGAGCGTCCGGCCGAAGTAGTAATTGATGAGGAAGCGCTTGTTTTCCTGCTCCACCTGCAGATCCCCGCGCGACTCGGACGCCCGACGGGCGGCCTGCGACCGGCGGAAGTCCGAGAAGACCAGCGCCGCCAGGATCAGCACCAGCAGGCACAGGAGGAAGGCCCGGGTCGAAAGGAAGAGGAAGATGCTGCGCCAGGGCTGCGCCAGGTGCAAGATGGCGTCCACCAGCGAGTGCGCGGCGGACTCGAGCCCGGCGTGCGGCCCGCACGCCGGCTTCAGCACCAGGAACCCATACGTCAGGGTGCCGGTGCAGATGAAGAGCGTCAGCAGCATGGCCAGCAGGCAGGTCCGCGCGAAGGAGTAGATGGAGATCAGATAGCGTGGCGGGGACAGGAGCCACTGGGTGGCCCAGATCTTCAGGTAGAAGAGGATGACCACCATGGGCATGCCGAAGAGGGCCACCATCGGGGAGTAAAACATGCCGAACCTGCGCGCGGCGGGCCCCGGGCGGTGGGAGAGCACGAAGGTGCGTGGGGAGGCGGCAAAGGGACCGGGGGGGG